TTCCTTTTATTTCGTTTATTAATACCAAATTGGAGTTCTATCTCAACTGTTTTAGAGCAACGCTGTTTCCAAATTTGGTCTCTTATGAGATTATTCATTGTATTTAGAGCTTCTGTCAAAATAGATTGGATTTTCTTTTCTTTGTTTACATAGATTAGTAAAGTTTTGACTAAATCATTTGGGACTAAGCCTTTGATTATATCCAGAATGTTTAGTTGGTTGTTATTTTGGTTTATCTGCCAATAATCTTTTTCTCGAAGGATAGCTTCATTAAAATTATTGTTTAACTGTTTCATTTGAGTGGATATTTGTTTTATTGTGTTGTTGATAATGTTTTTCAGGATATCTCTTTGTTGGGAACATAACCAGATATGATTAAAATTTTCCTTTTCATTGTTGCAAACACAACATAACCAATTTTCATCATATATGTCAGGTCTTCTTGCTTTTAAAATTTCAATTGTAGGAAGTGCTTCAATTAATTTTTTAATTTTAAATGCCTTGATATGACTTGATATGAATGAAGTTTCATTGTTTGATTGGTTATTGTTGTTTAGTATACACCAAGTAAATGGCCAATTTATATTTAGTTCTTTTGAAACATTGTATTTTTTGTTTATATTTTTCTTGGTCCAAGTTTCAAAATTTTTTGCTTCTGTGCATCTTTTTATAAAATGTCTTAAAGATGTTTCAATTCTTATATTATCAAAGGTTGGTTGGTAGTTTAAAGATGGGATATTTTCATAATTTATATTTAGGAGTTCTGATTTTAAGCCCGTTTTTGCCAATTTGTCAGCCTCCTCATTGTGAAGATTATTACTATGAGCTTTAACTTTTTTGAGATAAACTTTTAAATTAAGTTGTTCTATTATATCTTTAATTAAAAACCACATTAAATAATTTTTTTCCTTGATGAGTTTCCTGAAAGTGATATGTTCATTTTTTGACATGATTTTGCAAAATCCTTGTATTGTATTTTCACTATCACTGAATATGGTTACGTGACAATTGTTAGGAGAAACTAGTAAAGCTGTTAAAATTGCTGCAATTTCTGCACGTGTGGATGATGGTAGATTAGTTATTGATGCTGAGAAAGTTGATTTTTCATAATTGTCATTTATTTGGGACCAGCCTAAACCCATTTTTGTATTTGGTGTACCCAGATCTTTGAGGGAGCCATCTGTATAAAAAACCAGTTCTCTTGAGTTCTTATACAGTTCACTAGACTCTATTAATTTTGATTTACAAATGTTGTTTTTTATATAAGTATTTATTAGTTTAATATTTATAGGTAGTGCTTCTGGTGTTATACTACAACTAACTATATTTGAGGGAATAGAGTTATTAAGAAATCCCTTTTTTGATTTGGCCTTGATTTCAAAAATTGATTCAATAACTTCATAAAGGTCTGTTGCTCTATTAACTTTTTTTGCCTTGAAAGTGCTAGCATTTTTGTAGTTGTACCAGTCATTGCATAAAAATGTTATTGTATGTTCATACTTTTTGATTGGTATGTGACAGGGGCATCCTTGACATTTTGTTATTGTTGTTAATGTGCTAGTGTTGTGAGAATTTAATATCCAGTGCTCAACTAGAATCTTGTTGTTAAAAAGGTCTTTTTTGTGTATTTTCCCAAGAATTATGTCTTGTATTTTATTGTTCCAAATAGCAACCCATTCTTTGGAATTATTATTCATATTTGGTGGTTTAATTTTGAGTGGGATATAATTTGTTGATGATAAGATGAAAGATGATTTGAGTTTACATGAAATTGTAGCATCCTCTAAAATTATTTGTTTTAATTTCTGAAACCATTTTGGGTCCTTTTTTCCAGAATTTCTATAGTTCTCATATCTAATTGCTATATCTCTTCGATTTAAGAAGTGAGTATTATCATGTGAAATTAATTGATCCAAAAACATAAAATTGTGTTTTTTTAACAACTTGATATATTGAAAGTATGTTTGCCCAAATATGTCTATTAGGGGTGAAATGCCTCCTTGAATTTTACTTTTGTCTGAAGGTGCAAATGTAAAGGGAGAATCTTCAATTAAACTTAATGTTGATGCAATTATATTATGTTTTATTTTTTTAAAAGGAGCATCTTTCCTGATTAAAGGAGATATTGGAAGCCAGAGTTGTAGTTGTAATTGTTTTAATTTTATATCAGTTATTTTTCCAAGTATGGATTTATCATTCAATTGTATCATTAGATTATTAATTTGTACTCTTTGTTGTAAATCAAATAGGTCGATTATACCATAAATATTTTTACATTGTGTGATAATATTTGTTGTTTTTGAACTAATGTGTAATTTTTTCTTAAAACAGATTCTGAAAGCAGACATCAATTTAGAGCATTCATTCTTAGTGAGAATGGATAATTGTGCTTGATATTCGATTTTTGGCACAATAACTTTATTAAAAATATATATTAGTTGCTTATCTGTAAGAGGTTTTCTTAACATTATTCTACAGGATTTAGTGATTTCAGTCAAAATCTGGTCATGTACAAATTTCTTTTGTCCATTATAATTTATCCAAACACCCAAGAATCTGATTGATTCTGATTTTTCAACAGGTCTGATGTTGATAGTTGATTGTCCAAATTTCAAGTTAATATTATTATTGTTGTTATTATTAGTTAAAGATGTCATTAAAACTGATTTGTTTTTGTTTATTTGGATATTGTTTATTGTGTAGAATTCGTCTGCGATTTCTAATATTTTTTCCAAATTTCCCTTTGAGGATGTAATCCAACTGGTGTCATCCATGAAAGCCAGTGTGGGGATATCTACTTTTATATTTTCAATATCTGATTTAGAAATATCAGATTTCCAATTTACTTCCATTGTATATCCAATATTAGGTTGCTGTTTTATTTCACATAATAGAGGATCATAATATATGCACCATAGGAGAGGAGATATGACTTCACCCTGGTCTATTCCAGTTAAAACATTATAAGGACTTGTTTCTCCATAAGCAGTTAACACTGTGTTTTTCCTTTCCAAGAATAAATTTAAAATTAATTTGATGCAATTTTGTGGTAATTTCAAATGTAACATTGCTTTTTCTAACATTTTTAAGTTGACCCAATCATATGCCTTTGAAAGATCTTGAAAAAGAATCCACAATTCTTTCTTTTTTTCATATGATTCTTCTATAACTGAATTTAAAACTCTTATTGGCTCAAAGGTTGAACTGCCTGGTAACCCAGCAAAGTTTCCTCCTTTTAAAATATTTTCTTGTACCATGATTTGGGATAAGCGTTTGTTTATTTAATCATTGCTTTCCTGGTACATTCTAATAAGGTTATGGGTCGAGTTTTATCTAAGGTACATTCCCAGTTTGTTTGTTTGGGAATCGGATATACTGTGGCCAGCCTCCATTGATTTGGAATGTCATTTAGTTTAATACATGCTGTGATTAACTGCCATAGACATTTGTTTAATTTTTTTCCTAGATTTTTAAGCATTTCATTACTAACTTTTGATGGACCTGTGGCTTTGCCATTTGGTAGTGATGTTAAAATTTGTTTCCATTCTTGAAAAGATGGTGGGTCCATCACACCATTGTATATTTCTGGATTTATATCATCTTTTGGATAGTATTGAAGGTTCCAACGATTATTTAAGGTTCTTGCTTCATTTATATTACCTGCCACATTTTGAAAATGATCATTTGTAATAATTTTGATTTTCTCTGGGTCAGTAGTTAGCATAATATTATTATTTTCTTTATATATAACTCTATCTAGGATTATGTGTTTATGTTCCCTTTCCAAAATGGAATCTATCATGAGGCCTTGGCTCTCTTTATAATCCCTGCATCTTTTTTCGATAAAATGGTTGATTTGATCTTGTTTAAATTTTGTTTCTTGTAATTTACATGTTATTGTTATTGTATTGTATATTTTGGAAATCTGTTTTTTTATTGTGTTTATGTTGTTTTCATTGATGAAATTATCTATATTTTCTAATGGATATTCAATTTCCTTTGAAATATCTACTATATTATTTTTTATTGTGATCCATTCTTCCTTTGTTGGGAGTCCTTTCTTATTTATCTTATATTTACTTAATCTTATTATAATCTTACCAATGGATTTTAGGTATTTATAATTTAATTTTAATGATGTAGGTTTTTCTCTGGTGTTAGTTTTTTCATTTGTTATCCATTTTGATGGTATATGATCTATTGCTGATTGTATAATGATTTCTCTTATTTTATCCCATACATTATCTAACATGGATCTATTTGTAATTTTAATATTCTTATTATTAAGGAAACATTTTTTATATAGTTCATTGTTTTTATTTTTGAATTGTTTCCATTTTTCTTTTGTCATATTATCATACATGTATATCCTAACTGATGGATATATATTAATATGATCTTCGTGTCAATCTTTACATAAATCACGTGTTGAATGTTGTGTAATATTGTCCAGGATCATGTATTACAGAATACTGTACATTTAAAACGTGCGACGGCGATGAATAAAAATTTTAATATACACATCATACATATATATTTATATCAATGGCGGCATCGAGTAATAGATTAAGTAAGCGATAATTCATGTGTATTATAATCTATATATTAATATAATATTTTATTTGATTAGTATTTGTCACTGGAAATAAAAAAAAACTTGAGGAAGTTCAAGCAATTATTGGGAAAAGCATTGATTTATCAAGTTATAAGCTTGACTGTGAGTATAATAATAATCTTGATTATAAAGTCAGTAATATTTATTTATAAAATTAAAATTAATTAACATTAATTACTATGTATGTATGGATGGATAAAGTGACAGAAATACAAGGCACGTCGCAAGAAATATCCAAGGACAAATGTAAAAGAGCATCGATTGCTGTATGTATATGACTGGAAGACAATAATTGATATAATTGATTGAAGGATTAATTATTAGAAGGCTAATCAATTAATAATTAGTTAATAATATATTTATTGCTCAATTCAATAGTTGAATTGTCCAGTCATCACTGAAGATACTTGCTTGTGTTTTAATGCACTGGAAGGACTCCCAGGTCCATACATGTAAGAAATTATCTTATTTAATTGTGGTCTTTATTTACAAGGAAATTAGTTTGATTAATTAAAAAAAACTTTACAAAAGTAAATGGTTTTTAGAAAAGTTGGGACATGATGGATTGAATAAAATGTTATCAGGATTTGAGGATAAATCAGCATATGCTTTATGTACTTTTGCCTACTCGTCTGGTCAAAACGATGAACCAATATTATTTGAAGGCAGAACCAATGTAAATAATTCAAAATATTATGGTCACAATTATTTATTAATTTCCATTAACATGTATTACATTTATATAATAATTTAGGGAAAGATAGTGGAAGCAAGAGGCCCAAATAATTTTGGATGGGATCCTATCTTTCAACCTGATGGGTTTGATAAAACGTAATTCATCGTCATCGTCATCGTCATTGTTATTGTTGCTGCTATTGTTATTATTTGTTTTGATGAATGAATTAATATACGAAAGAGAGAATTAATATGGATGCTGTGTTAACAAAAATTTATTCATTTCATTATGTCTGATCAATAATCTATTTAATTAACTTCTAATTTTCTATTTTCCAATAATTGTAATTTTAATTAGATATGCGGAGATGCCCAAAGGAATTAAAAATACAATCTCGCACAGGTACAAAGCTCTAGACAAGCTGAAGAGCTTTCTTGAAACAAACAAACAAACAAAAATAAATGCTGTAAATATAAATAAATAAATACACAATGTTTATCAAGCAAAGTAGCAGTGATGGTATTCGTTAATAAAATAAATAACATTATTTTCTCGTTCAATTAATCTTACGGGAGATTCTACAAGGAGTAAAGGTTCTGAGGAATTAGTTTTCATTTTTTTTGACTGCACATGCATTATGAATTAGACTTTTTCTTTTATTAGGCTTCGGTATTTTATTAAACATGAAGACTTTTCCTTGCGATTCTTATTATTATGATACTTCATGTTTTCTTTAAAAGGAAATGATTACCGAAAAAATTTTATTAATAAAATCGTACATCTTTAATCCTTTAATAAGCTTTTTTTTTACTAATAAAATTAAAAAAAACTCTCTGTCACCATGTGGACCATTACATTTCTTATAATATCACTTAATTTTATAGTTGTATCTTTTTTTTTGAATGAGAAGATGCAATTTTTATTTTTATAATTGTTGAAAAAAAGTTTAGTCCATCGTACAACCCAATTACACATGTTTGTATCAAATCTGCAAGGTGTAAATATTTATATTTAAAAAAACTGAAAATGGAAAAAATGAAAAAGAACCAAAAATGAAACAAATTATCGATAGGATATATATTAATATTTGATCTAAAATTTATCATTATCGGCGAATTAAAACCAGTACCAATTGAAAAAGTTTTTGACTAATAAGAAAAAATTATACGACTTTCTTTGTATAACTTTCACAAAAAAAAATCAGTGAAACTTTATTTTAAATAGAATTAACACCAATAAAATTTTGTTTGGTTATGTAAACGTTGAATGATTTTATTTTATTTTGTACTTTTCTTTTTATGTTTAAAATGAATTTTTATTTTATCAATATATAAATAATTTTTTCCCTTTTTTTTTATAAAAATTGTTTTAAAAAGAAATTTTTTAAAATATTTAAATTAATATTATATTCTAAATTAATAAATAATCCACTCATTTAATTCATTCGTTATTTTTTACGTTACCATGGGAGTTCAATTATCTACAAACATTCGCAAATTAAAACGCAAAGACCCAAATATAAATATTAATAATGATAAGGAGAATATTGATAGTGGTAATAGTAGTAATAATAATAGTCCTCAGACTAGTAATATTAGCGACTCCAGTACCACTAACATTGAAGAAACGACAAATAATAATAAACCCCCCCCAAGAACATCAAAGTTAAAATTTTGGTCCAAGTCCAAGTCATCAACAGCGAACTCTAATAAAATCCTCGATGAATTTATTTCCGCAGCAAGTGATGACGAGATAGACCGGGTACAATTGCAGCATCATATGTTCCGAGTCACCTGGGACGGTAACTATAAGGCTCCTATAGAGGAATCCTTAAAGTCCGGCTGCGATGTATTAGATCTTGGGTATGTATTAGGCATTGGACGAATTTGAAAAATTTTTTTGTAAAAAAAGTATTAATAATATAATTATTCCTTCTCATTATATAGATGCGGACCGGGCACCTGGGTTGCTGAAATGTCCACCGATTACCCCAATTCCACCATAATTGGCTTCGACAAGATCAATATATTCCCAGAGCACAAGCCTTTGAACTCCCAATTTGTTAAGGGAGATTTATTAGACAAACTCCCATTCAAAGATAATCATTTTGAGTTTGTTCACTACCGGTCGTTTGGCTTATGGTTTTCAGAGGCTGATTGGAAAAAAGGTTTGGAGGAGGCTTTGAGAGTGGTACGTCCGGGGGGTTACCTGGAAATTCTAGAAGTTGAAACAATACCACAAAATGCGGGTCCCATAACTGTTGAAATAATGGCTGCCTGTAAGTATATTTTCTGATCGTGAAAGGAAATTGCAAGGAGATGATTTCTAAATTAAATTTTTCTTTAATTTTCATACAAATTAATAGTAAGGAACTTCATGGAATCCACCAATAAAAATCCCTATCTGATCTCTCATTTCAATGATATACTGGCAAGAACGAATGCGTTTTCTCACATCTACTGTGGGGTGAGAAAAGTACCGATAGGTCAACATTCGGGCAACTTAGGAAAATTGTCTGAATATAATGTAGTTCGCATGTGTCGGCTTACAAAGTCGAAACTGATTCACTTCTTAAATGTAAGAGAGGACGAGTACGAAGAAAAATACATTCTTCCGCTCATCAACGAAATAAATATCTACAGAACCTTTTTTTATCAGTATCGGTTCTATGGGCGGAAGAAAGAAAACGAAGATCAGGAATTGATCATTTGTGATGCTGAGTTAAGAAGGGTGAAAGGGTGAAGGAAGAGAATCAATCCTGAATCAAGGGATTTCAAATGTAAATAAAACAATACAAGAGAATATATGTAAGAAAAAATAGATATATGCATAACATTAATAGTATATAAATAGTATCATTATTTTTAAATAGTATAGTATAAATAACCCATTTAAATAAAAAGTATATAAGCAATATAAGCAAGCAATCATTATTAATAAGAAAATAATAAATTGTTTCAAATTGATCAATTTAAATTTTGATTCTTGCATTATTATTATTATTCTATTCTCCCAAAGTCTATACTACTCGGAAAGTTAGGTTTCACATGTTATTAAGGATAAACCCTGACATTGCAATTAACCAATTTATCATTATCGTTGCTAATGATGTAGTTGCTAATGAATGACATTAATAGTATTAACGATTATGATGATGGTGGTGGTGGCGGAAATAAATATATTGTAATGTTTTATCGGATCAACTATTTTGCGTACTATTTGGATTTGTAATCATCTTTGACTTATGATTGAAGGCGACAATGTTGGTGGCGGCCTAGATTTTTGTTGTCCGGATTATTGTTAAAACCTTTTCTTCCAAATTTGGTTTTTCCTTGAATGGCGACGAAGATGTTGGTGATGATGTTCTTCGGCAGGTGAATTCTCTTCAGGTAAAAGTTGCTTTGTTGGTAGCGTCTTTGGCGAAGACAATGTTGAAATTAGTCAATTGGGTTATTTTCTTCTCGTCACCGCCATGGTTACATCTGAAACTAGACCTTTTTTTTGTTTTACAATTAATACATCACAAATGTTATTTATTTTTATTAACCAATTATTAATTATTAAATTAATAATAATAGAAAATTCCTTTTATTATAATATGCATGCAACTATTTTTTCGAGTAACATTTGAAGCATTTTCTCCCAATATGCAAGAATGAATTACATGAAAAATTGTGTATTCAGCATCCATTGCTTATTTTATCTGGAAATAGTGTTAATATTTTATATACTTATGCGAAAAAATTAAAAAATTGCAAGAATTCAAATATTTATATATAAATACAAATAATTTGAATCAATTATAATTTAACATTGTTCTTACCACCGTCAAAGTTCAAGTGATTTAAATACTGTAATTCACGCACAAGCCATCTTTGATATTGACATCTTAATCCATCATTTTCATTAATTAATCTGTCAAGCTCAGCTCGAAAAATCTCTGACCTGACTTCTTTTAATAGTTGACCTAATCTATTCAATCCCTCGCCATTCCCACCATCTCCCCAATACCTATCATTCGATGTATATTCTATTATCTCTGCACCACATGTAGAAAGTAATTTAAATTGTAGATTGCGAAATTATGAAAATTTACATTTTAATGCTTTTTTCATAATTAATTCTTTGAATATCTTCCTGTCTTCTGACACCGCCGATTCCCAATCTGCTCTTTTCTCTTTATCACATGATCTAGCAAATGAAAAATGCTTCCCTTGCTGATTTTGCATATTGAATTCTTTTACGAATTGTTGGATTTTCAAATTGAACTATCAATCCATTGATAATTATATTATTAATATTATATTTTTGAGAAAGATATAAAGAATCACTTACAATAATGTTTAGTAGTTGGCCAATCTGCACCGTTTATCAATATTTTCTTTATTGGACTATAAAAATCAGTAAACTCATAATAAATTTCATCCCTATTATAAAATTTGATTACTCATAATAAATTTCATCCCTATTATAAAATTTGATTACTCCTGATCTGCTATAATATTCATACTTCATCACAAGGAGAAATAAATAAATGAATATTAATATTAATGTGAGCAAGAACACATTAATTCTAATTATTCCTTACTTACCAAATGGCCCATAAGTAAAATAAGAGCATCTTTCATCGTTTCTCTGCGAGCCAATAACAATATAGCCCTGGCCTCTCAAAGTTCATGTACATTATAAGTTAAACTTGACTCAGTAACTTCTCTTATCACAATAATATCTATTGTATGAATATCACAAATATCACAAATGCTTTTTATAAATCCTGCTAAAGGGTTTATTTTCATTTCTCTAGAGTCCACATTTAAAATCTCCACTATTTCAAATTGGTTTATCCAACAATTCAACGAACAATCTAGAATAAATTCTACAAGTCTTCGAAATTCTGTTTCATAATAATAATCTGTATTTTTATGAAATCCATCATATGTGCTTCATGTAATACAAATCCATCACAATCCTCTTGCTTCATATCAAAATATTTGCTAATATTTTTATTTCCAAGTGTTATACTGGGTGCTAAGAATTTTAGGTTTTAACTGATTTTTTATTGATTTTATAATTGTTGAGTTACTATCTTAAATATTCATTGTTAAGATAATTATAAATGGCTCTTTTTTTACTATTATTTGGCAAATATTGATTTGAATTATTGGAATTACTAGAGTTACTATTATTCTGATTATTATAGTAATTATGATTATGAGATTTGGATGACGAATTTCCAGCTTGATATTGATCTTGGTTTTGTTTTGTTTGATTTGATTGGTTTTGGCTTTGATTCTGATTAAATTGATTTTATTGATTTGATCGCTTCTTATTTGGTTGGTTTTTTCCTTTTATTTGTTCCCCTTTCCTCTTCCACCTTCCCTTCCCTTTCTTTCCCCCATCTTCTTTTTCCTCTTTCTCTTTTTCCTTCTCCTTCGCCCTCCCCTTCACTTCTTTCTTTTTTTCCTTACCCTTCTCTTTATTTTTCTTCTCTTTCTTTTTCTCTTCCTCCCCGCCCTTCTCTTTTACACGAATTATTTCTTCATGTTCTGATCCAGATTCAATTGATTGCCCAGGCATACCATAATGATCATAACGATGCCAATCCATACAAATTCCAGTTTTTTCAATGCCAATATCATCACCATCGTTGTTGTTGCCAACTTGTTTCCATTTATTTTTATTCTTATTCTTATTGTTATTGTTGTCATTGTTATTATATTCTTTATAATTACTATCATTGTTACCATATTTATCATTATTTGTAGCAGTAAATTTTCCATTTTCTTTGCCTAATCGTAACCATCATCATTATCACCAAAAATAATATGATGGTTGTTGATTTGGTTTCTTGGATAAAATTTATCAAAATCATTTATTAAAAATTCAAAGTTGACATCTATCATCGATAATAACACCAACTACATAATTATAACAATGATTGTGATTTTTATATTTTTTATTCTTTCCGTATTCAACAACTTCCAGGTAACCATCGCAACCTTCATATGAAGAATCATTTATAATTCCCATAATTTATTATATCAAGAAATTTATTTTTATTTAAATAAAAAATAAAATTTTATTAAATAAAAAAAAATTAATCAATTTTTTTGATGATGGATGATGTAAAAGTTATAATTACAATCATAAAAATTATTTATTTCAATTCCAACTCAGCTCTAATCTTTTCCTAAATAATCCAAGTGTTAGCATATTTTGGACCATTTCCACCTTCAGGAGTAAGTAACCCAACCTATATTCTGTGACACATCTTTTTGTATCCGAGTTCATTTCATTGTTGACAAATTCATACACTCCAGCTATAAACACATATGTGTGCGTGTGATCGGATAAAATGTTAATCAAATGTAAATATCATGACTAATAAATCAACTATTCAAAAAAAATATGCATTTGCCTGGACAAAATCTTCCTTCTGGACCATCAAATATCTTTAGATTTCTTTCAACCAGTACTTTCTCATCTCTCAATCTTAAACGCACAGGTTGGTTTTCTGAATGATTGGTTCCACTCCTTGACACACTTTCCAGAAGATCAAAAGTTATCTTACCATCAGGTTTAGGATATTCTATTGGCTTGCACTTTCTATATAATTAGAGATATAATTGTGTAATCATATCAATTAGAATATTATCACTATTATTATTACTATTATTATTATTATTACATGTACTTTGCAGGTTTCAAAGAAGCCCAATCAGCATGATGTTTAAATGTCCACGGCACTCTTCCTTTTAAAAATAATGTATCCAATCCTGAATATGCTATGAAACCCATAATCCAAGTGGGTTATTAATTGAGGGTCTCACATTTCTCACTTCATACAATTCCACGAATTCTCAATTGACTTCTCATACTCATCAAAGATTATTGGCTCGGAACTAGAATTGCTAGCTTCTGATTTAGATGCTAATGCTTTATATGCTTGCTTCTCCTGCAAGCATTCCTGACTTCATTGTAGTATGAGTTCCCTTGACCTTTGGGACATTCATAAATCTGGCTGTACATCCTATCAATGCTCTGCCAGGGAATACTGATTTAGGGATTGACTAATAATTTAATCATAATTAATTGATTGATTAATGAATATCATTGTTATTACTGATTATTATTATTATTATTATTATGATAGTACCTGATATCCGCCTTCATTTAATGCTCTAGCTCCATAACATGTAACCTTTGCACCTTCAAGAAACTTTCTTATATACAGATGAAGTTTATATTTCTAATATTTATAGTAAATAAATATTAAATATTTTTAATTAATAAACATTAAATAACAAAATATTTTTAATTGGTAAATATTAACTATCCGGTCACAAATTTATATTCACCTGAAATTCTTTGTATGGATTTAAATATGGATTCTGATAGTCTAATCCTACCACATATCCAACTTGAAGAATATTATTTTCCATGTGATACATAAATCCACCACCATAAGTTTTATAATCCATTGGGTATCCTATAGTATGCACCACCAATCCTTGGCTGGATCTATTTCCCAAACTTCTTTTATCCCAATTCCATAGGTTTGTGGCTGTTTTCCTTCGCGAAGGTTGAATTTGTTTATTAATGTCTTGGTAAACGATCTATGACATCCTTCGGCAAACAGTGTAACTTTAGAATGGAATCCACCCCTCACTCAAAATTGCTTTTTGGTTTGAAATTTTTGTCTAATACCATATCATTTGTTACTACTCCACGCACACTTCCATCCTGATTATACAATACCTGTAAATCATATGATGTAAACGTGCAAGAGAGTGAGTGAGTTCATGAGTGAAAATACATGCACGAGCGTATTAATGCTTCACATGCAATTACCTCACTGCCAGCAAAGTTAACATAGAGCTCTACATTTTCAGCTTCTGCTTGATCACCTAACCATTGAACAAAATTATTTAGACTGATAACACAATTGTCTTTATTACTGGATTGTGGTGGATGTGGAAGTATTGGAATTGCCTTTGTTTATTCCATATCTATATACAAGCAGCAGAAGTTTCAAATAAATAGATTTATTTTATAATTATTGGGCAAAGTAATAGTTTTATTTGAAAGAATTATGCTTGAGCACACAGTTTCAGGTGTGCTGATCCTTTGATGCTGACACTACGATTATAATAAGCAATTTTTTTACCATTCGTATCATTCATTATGTTGCCTCGCCCTTACCAATTATTATCATTATCAACGAAATTCTGTGATCAACAAAAAATACATAATGAGATTGAGACCTGAATCGCTTTATTACGATAACAACCCACAAATCCATGGTGAGCTGTGTGGGAACCAGCTTGTCAAGCAATTTTCTCTAATAACAAAAAAGAATCCCTCCCTTTCTTTGATCCAATCTTTTTTTATTTCCCAATTTAACTTGGTGATGAAATGGAGTTCCTATCTGCGAATTCATTATTGATTTTCGACATGAAGTTATGGCGTTTAAAAAGAAAGATTAGGATTGATTTTTTTGCGGCACAGTGTTGGATGCTGTCCAAAAATTTTCTGAAATCATCACTACTGCTAAAGATGAAGAATCAATATCAACCAAACTATATCTTTTCTTTCTATTTCATAATACCACTCTAAAAACAATTAATTTCCAATTGATAGTAAAAGAAATTAGCAAAATTGCCGGTGAAAGAAATCTTGACCAAATGTTTAATTATTATTACACATGAAAGTATTTACAAACTTTTATTGTTTGAAACCTTTATTTTGTTCAAACTTAATATCAATTACTACGATTATTAATTAATTACTGTTGACAAAAAAGTTAGCATCTCAAATTGATGATGATTACTATTCATTTGATTCACATGAGAATGATCTGAATGATTAATACGAAAATTTATTTGAATAAACATCTCGAATACTTAAAATCGATTATTAACAATATCAAATAAACCCAGAAACCTTACAAATGTTGGTCAAATTATACCAATAAAAGCAACTAATTTTGCATTTTTCTGGGAAATTTAAATTTTTGTCGGAAATAAACAGGGTTTAAAATGTCAGGCATGGAAATGATTTTAATAAGGTCAATTATTATAGTTTTTAGTTTTAAATTTGAGTAACGAATGAATGATTCATAATTTACTGATGAGGCAATTTATTTATTTTATTATTAATTTGAACACCTTTGTATATATTTATGGTGATACTGTTTAAATAATGAAATTTCCACTTTAACCATAATATTCCATCAGTCTATAATTTTTTCTCGTTGATCTGCATACCAATTTTCACAATAATCCTCCTCCTACCTGTAACAGTGGACATAACACCATAAAGAAATTTCTGTAGCAGTGACAAATTCCACGATCTCCATTTTTATTATTATTAGTGAAATAAAAAACCAAAGTATAAAATTCAATAGGAATTTAGTAAATGCTTTTAATAAGCCGCTTTGAATTTATATAAGAATCCCTACCAAACTCCTTGGTCCATTCCTTAATTATTCATTTTGGAGAGTGTATGTTAAAATAAATATAGACTAATTTTCAGATAATAATATACAATGTCATTATTTCTGAATTTTAGAAGGAAAATGTGTATTTTAATTATATATGATGGTGAAATTCAATCAAAAAAATTCGAGTTTTCGAAATCAAAAATTGGAATTGAAAATTATTTGTAATTTATTCAGTACTAGTACAATCAATAACGGATCATAGTTCTGCTCGAAAACAATGAAAAAAGGTCCGGAAGACACAAAAATTGTATGAGCCACTTAATAAAAGCAACAGAGAATTTCCTGGAAAATATGATGCAAATCACAATAGTAATTCATTTGATAAGTATTTATTCACGCTACCAAATTAAGAAAATCTACAGGATAAACTTGTTTTTTTTGATTTGTAAACTTGAATTAAAATATAGGTTGGAACCGGCCTTATTTCCAAGAACAGGTTTTAATCACCTTTTCAAAATCAGAACCGGATTAACCGGGTACCCAGTTATAATAATAAAACAGCAAAACGGCCTTCAATTGATAAATTGATAATCCATCCAATTCATAATTTTTTATTTTGTGTGAGAACAGCTAATGTTTTATAGTTTTGGGTTAATAGGATTATTTGTTTTCCAAGTTCAAACTTGTTATTATTTACTTTATTCAAGACAAAGTTGTTTTTATAACTTTAGGAATTCGAGTTTCTTATATACATACATGTCCATTAATTATTAATTAAATAGAACATTTAAAAATGTAGACATGCAAACGCAATTAAACATGGGAACTGCAAATTAACTGCAATTCAATTTTCATATACCGCAACCACAATTAGTTGCAACTAGTCGCAATTAATCGAGGAGCCATCTTTAAACGCAATGTTTATTACACTCTCGCCACTTACCTCGTGACATTATTGCTACATAATATAATAATAGTATGTACAATCAAACCTCGCTTCATCGAATCTTGTCTCAACGAATTATAATTAAATTCGCGTCATAATAACGAATTTGTCTCGCATATAAAATTCGTTGAAACGCGATTGGTAATTTTAATTTGGTATAATGATAACAAATTTTAAATGCAATTTTCTTATGCGTCTCATAGTTTCGTTGGAACGAAATTTGACTGTATAGTAATAAAAATAAACGTAATAATAACACGAAATCGTGTAAATAAACGTATAAAGTTGAGATTGATCAATTCAAAAATTCTTTTATTATATACTAAAACAAACGAAAACAAATGGAATGTTCGTTATTTCTTTTTAAAATAAATTTCAGTTTAATCTAATTACCCAAATAAGCCGTGTAAAATAAATTTCTTAGCTGGCTGACCATAGATTATTTACAGAAAAGAATATTGGCTAAGCCATTCAAAAATTTCTTAATATCAAACGGGTTCAACCGGTTTTAAAATTCGTTTGCCCGAAATAAACCGGTTCCAACCTCTAATTAGAAACATTCAAGATCAGATTGTTTTTTGAAACTAATACTAAACTATGTATGATTTAAATCTTGTTTCAAAAAGACTGTCGAATAAATTAGAAGAATGAAAAATTTAGTACAAAAAATTTCATTTTTTAAATTTACCTTCCAAGAAATTTATTGCGATTTCCAACCCTATTTGCAATGCAGTATTTATTAAAGAATCTAAAATAAAAAAAGACGCACAAATATTGTATATCAAAGAATTATTATATAAATTCATTATTTCACATGATCAGAATTTTCGTAATTTAATAATAGTAATAGTAATGTATTTTAAAGAACTGGTATTTCGGTTTATTTTTGATAAATCCGATTGGAATCATAACAACCGGATTTATTTTGACCAATTTGTTTGAAAAACTTGGAGTCGAAAGTCAAAGGCTGGCGGTTTGTGTATATCTGATAAGTACTTATTATATAGTAAATTATTTTCCTGCTCTAACGTTTCCTTAAAAAATTTCCACTATTACTATAAATTTAGTATTTCTCGTGTGAATTGTGTAATGTTATATTTTCCAACATAAAAATAAAAAAAAAGTACCAAAATCTTTTGGAACCATCAAATATGAAAGATACCATCATAACCACAATACAAACAGCCGTCATAGTCATCTTTGGGTGGTATGAACCACGTGAACCATCAACACAAGATTGGAACAGTGGTAATGAAACTCAAAGCAACTTGCAACAATAATAAATATCTTCAATGGATTCAATATCGGGATTTAAAAAACATTGAGAAGATATTTGAAGGTGGATTTTGCAACTATATATACAAAGCTACTTGGGTAGATTGTGGTAAATCTGTTGCATTAAAAAAATTAGATAATTTGAAAAGTATTTCTAATGAATTTTTAAATGAGGTAATATTTTATTTTTATTTATTGTTATCATGGAATTATATAAAGCTAGTATCTGCAACTATGAAGCTAGATTACAACCAGTTGCAGACACCAACTTTAAATTCATTATTATTTCTAAATTAGATATTTATTTTATTTATTTATCATCAGTTCAAGAATTATATAAAATTTCATAGATTTACCAAGAAATTGATATTTATGGAGTAACGCATGATCCAACAACAAACCAATATATTTTTGTAATGAGATTTATGCAAAAAGGAAGTCTTCATAATTATTTAACAAAAAAATTTTAAATTAAAACCCTTAAACAAATTATTAAAGGTTTAAAAGATATTCATGAAGAAGAAATTATTCATCGTGATCTTCATAATGGTAATATTCTTCAAAATGATTCTGCATGTATTACTGACTTGGGATTATCAATTCCAACTGATCAAGATTTAACATCGAATAAAAACAATGTATTTGGAGTATTACCATTTGTAGCACCAGAAGTGTTAAATAATAAACCACACACAAAGGCATAAGATATATACAGTTTTGGTGTTCTAATGTCAGTAGTGTCAACAAGTCAACAACCTTTTAGTAATGATATAGATCTTGCAATCAAGATATGTGAAGGAGTAAGGCCTAGCTTCTCCAATAATACATCAAAAGTTTATATTGAATTAGCTCATAAATGTCCAAATAAACGCCCAACTGCAAAAAAAAATATTGATTTTTGGAATAGTTCATTTAATAATGATAAGAGCGGCTTGATGAAATGGACGAGTTTAAATTTGATCCTTCAACGATTACAGCAACAGTGCATCCTAATGCTGTTTATACAAGTAGATTATTGAAATTTACAAATCTTCCGCAGCCACTAAATTCAAACAAATAATAGAAATGGTAATTATTAATCTATTGATTTGATCTACGATCAATATTATCTAGGTTCATAGCAAATGCATTTAGACATTTAAACACCAATAATATGTAAATGGTGATAATTTGGAAACATTTTTGTCGATCAACAACAAAATTCAATTTTAAAAATACAAAAATAGGTTGCCAAGATGTATAATGTGTATATTATGTTTGTTGGATCACGTTAACCAATCAATTTTATTATTATTATTTAATTTCCTATTCTAGAATTAAAAATTAAAAATTGTTTCAAAATATTGCTATTATTATTATTTACTTATTTTATTAATTTATTTATTATTATTCTTTCTCCTATCTTTTTTTTTGTAACTATGTAATTTCGATGATGAGAATAAAGAAAAAAAGAAGAAAGGAGAGAAAAAGAACTGTTTTTAAAAAAACATTGATCTAACAATTTTCTAATAATTCATAATAATAATAATTCATTCATAATACACACATGTAAGCTCGACAAGCGGTCATTTAATTTATATTATCAAGTATTTTAAACAATTGATTGCTGCGTCCGATTTATCATACCACACAAGCCACAAAATAGAATATAAATATGAATTCTAAATTTCCCAAAAAAAATAAAAAAATTTCAAATTTTTTTTTAAAATAAAAAATTATTTTCAGGAAAAATTTTTTTTTTTTTTGATATATTTATGATAAAACAGCATCAGCAACAACAACAATAATAATAAACAGTATTAATAACAATATTAAATATAATAAACAGTAGAAATGAATTTAGTAAAGTCTTTTAATTATTTTATAATATTCACACAAGCATTATTATTACAATCAAATTATCATGTAGAATCACATCGATATCATAATCATAAATTAAACAGTAAACCTCGTCGCAAAAATAATCGTCATCATCATCATCATAAACATTTTAATTCACATCTTCATTTTCATCCAACAAAAGATTATTCATATTTAAACCCAGGATCAATTCCAATTAACGATAGCTATAATTTTAGTTGTAAATCGATATGTGGTGATGGATGTATACTTGGATTATCCATGGTTATTTTATTTTATTTTGGTATCTCGCTATTCATCATACGACATTATTATATAAGAAGACAATTACGTAGGAATGGTACGATCATTGTCACTACTAGTAATAGAATTGATCCGGAACTTGGCGGGCATAAAAGACGAGATAGTGATGAAACTGTTGTCAATGCATTCACTAGAGATTATAGTGGTGACGAAGAGTCGACAAAATCGTTATTAAGTCAATAGGTTTATTTTTTTTTATTATTATGTAAATTATATTTTATATTTTTCTTTTTGTATTTATGTTTATTGTATTTTATTATTATAATTATTATTATTGCATGCAATGTTGTTTAACAAATAAATTATTTGTGACAAGTTTGAAAGTCACGCACAAAAATGCGACTGAAGGTTTATTATAGAAATGAAATGATGTTTTAAGTAAGCTCAATTCTATATATCGATTTTAAGCTTTATAGCACCTTATTATTACGTATGATTTGTCACAAAGAACATGTATAGCTTAGAGGCAATACCCTTTTTGTATATTTTTTTTTGAATAAGTTACTCGAATTTGTCAAAACACGATTTTCAATGTTTGGTATCTGATACAGTGGAATCCTTGTTTCAACGAATTTGAATGAAATTTTCTTATATATCCAGCCAGTCACCTCATTGTAACAAGGTTATACTATGTGTTTTATTTATTTAAAAGAAAAAAATTTTTTTTTGCTAGTTTTTATTATATTACATTTTAATAACGTTCTATCTGTACACGCCAAGAATTGTGATTGATGTTTTATGCAAAAAAACACGACTCATTGTTCTAATTAAAAAATATGGTCTTTGGCAATATGCAAGTAATTTAAAAGTCACTCATTCTATTAAAAATCCTGCATGATATGAAAAACTCATACCAATCTTGCTCCTTACTGACAACATATTTTTCTGATGATCACAGTTCTTTTTGTCTCCATCAAGGTTTTTTTGTACACCTGAAGCATGAGTAGGATTTCTATCTGAATAAAGTTTACTTGAATTATTTGAACCATTCATAATTAATATGCACATTGCTATCTCACTTTTTTTTCAGTATTTCAAAATGTCAATTGTTTTAATAAAATGGTTGTTGCAATCTTCAAAGAAAAAAACAGAACATTCCACAGTGGAATAGTGGAATTCCAATTCATCTCAAAAATTGGTACATATGTAAAATTATTCAAACCATTATTACTATATATAAAAATCTGGCAAGTTACATATCTAATATCACTAAAAAATCTGGCTCATCACATACACAATTATTATTACAACAGCAAAATTCTTATAAATTTAGGTAAAGAAATAATGAATATGGTCATTGCTAATATTATTAGAATTTGGGGCATCAATAAGAAAATGGTCTTTTGCAGCATTGCAGTTTTAACAGTAGCTTTTACTGGTTGCTCCCAAAGACTATAATGTTATTACTATCTTTACAGATAGTAAGTCAACAAATCATTTAAAGCACAATTCTACACACATATCCTTGAAACACATTTTGGTCAATATTGCATGCATGCATGATATCATTAATATCAATAAGATTAAATTATTATTCAAAAAGATAAGAGCATACACACACTGGAAACACACATGATGAAAGAGCAGATGCTATTGTTAATGATGCTTTGAATTCTTCCATTACTCGGATCAAATATGAACCAAAAATAATTATTGACACTCATCTATACCATTCTCATACAATAAAAGTTTTGCAGAATGGTAAAAATCAAAAATATCAAAAAGATGAAACACATTGGAACAATGCTTTCTTCTCACTCAATGATGATGGAAACATCTTTCTTCTGATCACAAAGCTTTCAAAATCAAACTTATGATAGGAAAAATCCAACATTAGGACATTTTAAAAAAAGATGACAGTCAGTGCTCAATATAATGAAACATTTGTTTTTCCAAAAGCTTATTATTGTCAAAATGTCATGTGTAATTTAATTTTGATTGATTAAATAATACAAAACATTCAGCACAGAAAATAAAAACAAAACAAATTTATCTGATATGAACTATATCAACTATGCAGAAAATTTAATAGTAATAATGATAAGCATAAATTTGACAATTATGATAATGATCATGGTAATTGAACAATATAGGTACATTTAGCACAGAACTGTTCACAAAAAATGCACTTTCAAATGCTCCCATTTTTAATCCATTATATCCAACAAAAGATTTGATGTCATCACTATCAACACAATTACCTAGTAACACCTCTCTATTAATAGTAACAATGTTAATAATACTAGTGACCTAATTCACAATTTCCCTTATCATTTATTTGAACATGATTAAAATTATATAATTTTGATTTTGATGCATTCTATTACACATAATTAATTAAATATTTTTATTTTAAAAAATTTATCTATAAACATTATATTATAATAGCAATAAATAAATTTTTAATATGAATTACAATAAATTTAAAAGCAATATTCTGAATAGACCTATCTATAATAATAAAAAAATAGATGATATTTTAATTTACACTTTTGCACTATGGTTGGCTCAGTCTAAAGACCTCCTATTTCCACGCCACACATTCAAATTTCAAAATTACGATTTCGTGATTCATTCAAAACTGGTCTTCACATGATTTTGGTTAAAAAATTATTTTCCTTCCTGCCAAATTTAGATATGATTGTCAAGTATTAATCTAAATTTAACAATGATCCTAGTGCTCAAATTCCTCATGAGCATAGTAATATACTTGTTTTAAAAAAGAATAGAACTCTACAACCAAATAATTTTTTTGAAAAATATCTATTACATTAAAATTAAAGACCCATTCCATCAACTACACTCACCTGCCATAAGTATTGGCAATTTTGCAGATCGCTGGAAATAATTGAACAAAGTGAAATAAAAATAACTCAAAATTTTATTATCACAATCACTTTTGTGTATTAAGCAAAAATCAATTTTCATAATAATTCCCATAACATACTTGAAATTTATAATGTTTTGTTTACAATTAATAATTTCATTGGCTTTAAAAGTCAAAGTAAAAATTTTTTGAAATTTTCAAAAAATTTTCAATTGATAACAAAACCTAATTGTCAAGTTTTAACATGTCTAGATAACATAATAAAAAATGTGCGCCATGTTTTGAAATATATATATATATATTGGTCGAATAATACATAATACAAACATTTATTAAAATTGTTTTTAGATCTTCACATTGTTTTTCACAAAAAAATCATATATTTAAACCAGATGACTAAAATTAGAGAATTATCTGTTGTTTGAGCACGCAGAGGTAATTGGTGCTTGGAAATGTGATGTATGCAAGTCAGAAATAAGCAAAAGACTTGGGATACCATTGCGAACAATATATAATAATAATAGGAAAATATTATATACAGAAAGGTTCTTTTTATGGAATATACAGAACCCTACCAAAAATAGCAATTCATTCTA